CTGATAACTTCATCAATCATTTCAAATATTTTTACTACTGTCTTTTGTAAAGCCTGAATCTCTTGACCTGAATATACTAGGTGATCTCATTGATACACCTAGCCTCTCTGCACATGTGATTCCAAGTTATGATGTTTTTTTCTTTAAAGATAGCATCTCATCTTTGGATATTATTTGGATAGCATGCAGATTGCCTTCCTGGAGAGATACTCTTATCTTCTAACATATCATAACTTTTTAACAGATTTTGATTGTCAAATTCAACAGCATGAATTCTTTCAGATAATTTTTTGTACCCTTTGACATGGATTGAATTTTGTCTGTAAGATAAATGTTATCCTTTTCAATGGTATTTATTTTTTCAGCTACTTTTTCTCTTCAATGGTATTAATCCTGTCAACTAGCTGTTCACTATTAGTCTGTAAAGACTATCATTTCTAAAAGTGCACAAATCTTGGCTCTGTTATGAAACCATTTTCTTTTCTTTTCTTTATTTATTTATTAATTATAAATTTCCACCTTCTCCCATCCTCCAATTTCCATCCCACTCTCTCCAATCTCCCTCCCCTCACTCTCCAGTCCTAAGAGAAGTCAGAGTAACCTGCCTTGTGGGAAGTCCAAGCCCCCCCCCCCCCCCCCGACTGAACGAGTATGTGATCAACCCAGACTCTCTGAATGTGGCTGACGATGAGGGCGGACTGAAAAGCCAATGATTTTGATTCTACTGCATGTACTGGCTTTTTGGTAGCCTAGTCTGTTTGTATGCACACCTTCCTAGACCTGGATGAAACCATTTTCTTAAGGATATAATATGAAAAAAGGTAAGTCCCAATATACAAAAAAATGGTTGTATCAGAAAAACCATATAAGCTTTGTAGAATACCATACATAGTATAAACAAGAATGTTATTAAATTCCTTTATGATAATATTGTCTGCAATTATATAACTTTCAAATTTATTGATTTATTTGTTACGAGAGTTCAGTAAATTGTTGCAGGTGTAATAATTTTTATTGGCCAGCAGGTGTCGCAGTTGCAGCCACGTGGTGGAGAGACACAACTGGCACAAGAACAGTCCTGTGCTGCTTTGGTTCTGTATATTGGTGTCTGGTTAAATGCTGACAAATATGCTTTGCTTGAGAAATTAAGAGCAATTAAATCAATCCCATAGATCATTCAAGGAGCCCAGAGCTCACAAACAGAGAACACAAACCAGAAGCGACAGGGTGGTGGGGGAGTATCTGTGAGCCTGGAAAATTGCCAAATTGCCATGCGGCAGCACCACTCTGGCAAGGTTTTGGCAACAACAACAACAACAACAAAAACAACCAAACAAGCAAAAATCAACAAAAACAAAAAAACAAAAAACCTTAGTATGTGAAATCAAGCCAGGCAGATGGAGGTGGGAGACCTTCTGGCCCAAGGAATTTGGGGCCTTTTTGAGCAGTCCACCCAGTAGGCATAGAGTTGGGATTCATGTGAGCACCAGATAAAGATGGATGCTATGAAATAATCCCACACTAGCTCAGAATTGAGTATAATAAAGGGTTATTTATGAGTAGACTCACAGATAACAGTCCTCTGCACGAACAAGATACAGGAAACAAATCCAACAGCCAGAAGAGAGAGTGCTCATAAACTTTATGGCTACATTTATAATATAAGAAACCATGCCCAAGTGAGCTGGTACCTTAAAAGGCTATTGACTGAAGGAGTCCCCATAGTAGAGGTACCTGCTCTACCCCACATGTTTGGTGCTCCACTCTTCTCCACTGCCAACGTTGGGTGTTGGATATAGACAATTACAATAAAGCAGTCCTATACTAGCTAAGAATGGAGTATAATAAAGGGTTCTTTATTTAGGGGTAGACTCACAGATCATAGTCCTCTGCACAAGTGGGGAACAGGAACCTAATCCAACAACCAAAAGGCAACAAAACTTTTTACATCTGTTTATATAGTACATGTGGCCACATCTAGAGTATGCCTGTATCTTAAAGGCTATTGGCTGAAGGAGTTCCCATAGCAAGGGCTACCTAGATCCTCAGGAGCCTACTTCCTGCTATAATATTTTCTGAACACTGGACATGAAACCTTATGATTTAATGATTTCCTTGTAGCTTTAAACATTGCTTTGATTTAATTATTTTTTTGCTCTTTCTTTCCTTCCTCTATCTCTTCCTTCCTCTATCCCTTCCTTCCTTCCTTCCTTCCTTCCTTCCTTCCTTCCTTCCTTCCTTCCTTCCTTCCTTCCTCTCTCTCTCTCTCTCTCTCTCTTTCTTTCTTTCTTTCTTTCTTTCTTTTTCTTGCCTTCTTTTCTTCTTTCTTTCTCTCTTTTTCTTTCTTTCTTCTATTTTTATTGCCTTTAATATAAACAATAGACATAGAAGTACTATGTTTTCAATCCCAAGATTTTGTTCTCCCTCTTCCAGGGTCTTCAGCAGATCAAGATGCAATAGACTGTCATTATGTGGAGGCTTCTTCTTTTGCTTTTCTTCCTCCTCCTCTTTATTTTCATCTGACAATTTCTTTATTTTCTTTCTTTTAAAAAGTTGTTAATTTTTCCTAGCCCTTTCACATCTTCTCACACCTTCTTCCTCCCCTCCTAGTCTGTTCCCCCACCTTCCCTTCACATCCACTTTTCACCCATTCTTTTCAGAAAGGGGAGGTCTCCCATGTATATTAGCCAGTCATAGAATTTCAAACTGAAGTTAGGCTAGGCACCTTCTCTCCTATTAAAGCTGGACAAGGTAACTCAGTAGGAGGAAAGGGTCCCAAAAGCAGGGAACAGAGTCAGAGAATGCCCCTGTTCCCATTGTTAGGAGTTTCACAAGAAGACCAGGCTACACAACTGTAGTATCTGTTCAGAGTGCCTAGGTCAGTCTCATGCAAGCTCTCTGGTTGGTGGCTTAGTATCTGTGAGCCCCTATGCATCCAAGTTAGTTGACTAGGCGGCTTTTCTTGTGGTGTCCTTGATTCCTGTGATTCCATAGTTCTTCATATCCCTCCTTCACATGATTCCTCAAGATCTGCCTATTTTTTGGCTGTTTCTATCAGTTGCTAGATGGAGCCTCTCTGATGACAATTGGGCTAGATAATGATCTATGAGTATTTTTGCTCTTTTCTCATGTTCAGCTTTGGAATTAAAATTTTTACCCTCTGTCATTTTATCTTGACAGTACTGGATTTTGTATTTTGTTTCTTTCAGGGTGTCTCAGCTAAAAGCTTGTCTTTTTTTATTAATTTACTTATTTATTAGAGATTTCTGCCTCCTCCCCTCCACTTCCTCCCATTTCCCTCCCCCTCCCCCAATCAAGTCCCCCTCCCTCATCAGCCCAAAGAGCAGTGAGGGTTCCCTGCCCTGTGGGAAGTCCAAGGACCTCCCACCTCCTTCCAGGTCTAGTAAGGTGAGCATCCAAACTGCCTAGGCCCCAAAGCCAGTACATGCAGTAGGATCAAAACCCAGTGACATCATTCTTGACTTCTCAGCAGTCCTCATTGTCCGCTATGTTCAGTGAGTCCTGTTTTATCCCATGCTTATTCAGACCCAGTCAATCTGGCCTTGGTGAGTTCTCGATAAATCATCCCCAGTATGTGGGTGCACCCCTCATGGTCCTGAGATCCTTGCTCGTGCTCTCTCTCCTTCTGCTCCTGATTTGGACCTTGGGATTTCTGTCCAGTGCTCCAATGTGGGTCTCTGTCTCTGTCTCCTTTCATTGCCTGATGAAGGTTAATATCCAGGAGGATGACAATATGTTTTTCTTTGGGTTCACCCTCTTAGGCTTACCTCACTCAGGATAGTGTTTTCTATTTCCGTCCATTTGCACGCAAAATTTAAGAAGTCAATGTTTTTTACTGCTGAGTAATACTCTAATATGTAACTTATACCTGTCAGAATGGCTAAAATCAAAAACACCAATGATAGCCTTTGCTGGAGAGGTTGTGGAGTAAGGGGTACACTTATCCACTGCTGGTGTGATGCAAACTTGTGCAACCACTTTGGAAAGCAGTATGGCGGTTCCTCAGGAAAATTTGGGATCAACCTACCCCTGGACCCAGCAATACCACTCTTGGGAATATACCCAAGAGATGCCCTATCATACAACAAAAGTATATGCTTAACTATATTCATCATTGTTTGTAATAGCCAGACCTGGAAACAACCTAAATGCCCTTCAATGGAAGAATGGATGAAGAAAGTATGGAATATACACATATTAAAAGTTTGTCTTGAGTATCAGTGGAACTTTACACTTGGCCTTTTGAGCAATACTGGAATAAGACTGTGAACATTCATAGAAATTAACTAAAAATGTTTTACATTTTGAGATGCACATGAGAATTTGGGTACCAAACTATAGTTCAGATATTCAGTTTTCCTAAAAAGGACACACACTAAATGTTAATCTGAAGTTTGGTACTATAGGAATGTAGTGAAAACATTAAGATTGTGACCTAATGGGAGACCTTCCATTTATTACAGTTTCATTGAGAAGATATCAGGATCCTAGGTTCTTCATCCTCTTTAATAATTAAGAAGGATCTGACATATTTTATTGTCTGTTTTCTTTTCCATATTCTAAAAATAATAGGAATTAACAAAATATGGCAAGGTTTTCCATCAGGTAGATACATTTTCATACAAATCAGAATTTGTTCCAGAATGAAGTCCCAGTACATGGAGTGATATGTTACATCATTTTGGTTTTAATAGTTCAAATATTTGAATAATAGAGAACATATCTCTATAAATCATCTTTAAAATCATATAAAAGACACACAAGACACATGAACACACAAACACACACATAAACACACATATAGGAATGAACACACACACAACACCGCACACTTACTAAATTATTCACAAACTACATTTGGTATTTGGATGCTGCTGTTGCTACTTTTATTTACTACAGTTCCACTGAAGCAGAGAGGTGCTTTGAAAGTAGTTTGCTTCCATAAGACCAGTCTGCCAAACCTAGGGCTCACCTATTCTTCAGAGCAGCTTATGGATCCATTTCGCTTCAGGCTGTAGGATAAAGTTCAAAGATGAAAATAAAAGAAAGTATCATTAGTTATAGAGAATGCCTGATATGTTAAAGATTATAATTAAATACACAGTATTGTAGATTGAGAAGAACTTGGAATGTTTCTAAATGCTGTCCCTCCCTGGACTCCAGATCTCTAATTCCAAATCTTTGAAGATGTTGTCCAGGAATATACGTATTAACCCCTGGAGTGCACTTAATGATACTCAGGGTTAAGAAGTACCAAATACTACTCTAGTTTCCATTCTTTGTAGAGAAACTAAAACCCTTTAGGAGTCACATTATTAGTCTATCTTCGAATTTGAAAATATAATATAAAATATAAAGTAACAGTAACTTCAGATTGTACAACACAAATACTTTCATATGTGTGTATTGCTATGTAGTCTTTCTACATGTATATATATGTTGTTCTACTAGCTTCAATGTCATTATTTTTTCTGTGTCTTCCTCTTAAATTATAGACATTATATCTGTGTATGTATAAATGCATATATGTACATAGTATTTTATATTTTGATAAACCAGAATTTTATAAAATTAATTCCAGAGTTTTTCTGGATAATAATAATAATAATAATAGATAGTATTGTAATCTTCTTAATGTGTATGGTTTGAATTTTTCTATCAAAATTTTTACATATTTGGAAATTTCTTAAATAGTATTATTTCATGTATTATCTCACTGTTCCTACATATCCTGACGAGCCTAGATAAAAATTAAGATGGTAACAGGGAAGATGAGACAGGCAATAATGAATGAAAATGAAAAGAATAACTTCAATACCTAAGAGTAATTTAGATTGCCTTGTACTTATCATGACAGTAGGTCTCAGCTCTACCAAGATATGAATGGACAATGAACAAGGTAGAGGAAACAGACTTGTTGTGCATATCCCATACTTCAACCAAAGATTACAGAGATCTACAAATATATGATACTATATACATGCAGCAACTTCCAAAGTGATTTGTATATTCATGTATTCCCCCCACAGAAAACCACACGCTATTTGGAAAAGGGGAATGGAAGGAGCGATCTCTTGGTTATGAAAAGTTGAAATTATAAACAAAGTATTTATTCCCAAGAAGAGGGAGTTAGTCTGAAAAAGATGCTTAGAAACCAGAGGAGATACTGTCACTTCTGGAAGATAACTTGTGTTTTCTGTTGTAAGAATCAGGGCTCATTATAACCTTTTGTTTCCACTTGAATAGAATAAGGAAGTTTTGGGCATTCCTGAATCTTGGTTTTCTTTTTACCTGTTGTGTGCATTTTGTTAACTGAGACTTACTGCATTGAGCAACTTCTAAAGGAATATTTTTATGCTTCATTTAAATGGTCCCATAGTGTTTTGATCAGTTTTTAATTTTGTTTTTTTTTTCAAGTGTTTTATACTTAAGCATTTCCATAAAATGACTATAAGTAAAATGTTTAAGTCACAAACTATTTTCCCCTACTCTAGTCAAAATAAGTGTTTCTCTATTGAAATTTAAGCATTTGTTTGACAACTTGGTTGTTTCAATGGACTCTTCATCTTCCTTGCCCCCAAGTTCCAAATTTGATAACTGTTAAATATCGAATACTGTTAAACATAGAATTAATAGAGAATTATTGCCTACGTTATATATTCAGACTTTTAAACTTTCTCTTAAAAATCCAACTTGGCCTAAATTACTAAATAGTAAACTTACCAAAGGAGCATATCTTGGTTTTGGAGGTGGAGGAGCCAACTTGCACCGACAGACACGTTTGGGCTTAGGTGATGTTCGCAGAGGTTCACAAGGAGGGAATGGCAGCTTTTCTCTTGATGAAGGAATTCTGCCACACGTATCTCTTTCCCCGCTTTCTCTGAAAGTAGTCTTTTTGGATGATGTTCTGAATCCTCTCTTTTGTTCTGATGTTAACTTCTTTGAGTCTGTGGATGTGGCATCTGAATCATCAGTGGTCTTTATAACCTTTAACACCAATGACCCTTCAGATTCAGTATCTGAGGGCCTTACAGCTCTCCTTATGTCTGCCTTGGAAGATCCATCAGAAGCTGAATCAATATAACTAAATATGTCCTTCCCCAAGTCTTTCATGGCTTCTTTCTTTTCCTTCTTTACTTCACTTTCAGACTCACTTGCAGTAGAATCTACAGTTTTTTTTGCATGCTCCTTTTCTCCTTTCTTTGTAATTTTCTTATCTTTCTTCTCACCTTTCTTTACTGTTGGGTCGTTTTCAGATTCAGAATCAGCATCAGTAGACAATGTATCCTTGATAGGCTTATTCCTGTTCGCTTTATTTTCCTTCTTTTCATTTCTCTTGCCCTTGTTTGTCTCTGCATCAGATTCGGAATCAGTATAGAAGGCATCCTTCTTTTCATCTTTCTTCAAACGTCTCTTTTCCTTCTTTTCACCCTTTGAATCTGCAGATTCAACATCAGTAGATTCTGAACCCTTTTTGTCTGCATCCTTTTTTTTCTTATCTTTCTTTGAATCCTTGGAGTCATCAGATTCACCACCAGTAGACTCTGTATCTTTCTTTTTCCTGGGTTCTTTTTGCTCTCCTTCTTTTTTTGCACCTTTTGAGTCTCCAGAATCAAGATCAGAGTCCTTTTCCTTCTTTCCACCCTTCTTCACAGGCTTTTTTGCATTGTTCTGTGAGCAATTTGTTGACCATTCTTCAGGCTTTGTGGGTTCATCTTTGAACTTATTTAGAAATAACAATAAGTCCATGTTTGAGGTATTTATGCTTGCTAATGTGTTATCAGAAAATTCCTTAGATTTCATTTTGGAGTCTGTATTTGGATTGTCCTTCCAAAATGTAGCTTCATTGTTGGTCTCCTTGGAATTCATTAAATATTTGTCATCATTTCTTGAATCCATTTCCATGGTTATTTGGGAATTGTTGGATTCTAGATTTGTTTCTGATGTGGCATTTGGCTTCTTAAATAGTTCACTTTTGTGTGACAATTCTGATGGAATTTTTTCTGCATTGTTTATTTCAGGTTTGCCGTCGGTTATCATTTTCTTGGGTTCCAGGTTTATTACAGATGAGCTTAATTTTTTCTTGGATTTTTTCTTCAAAGTTGTTCTTTTATCATCTTTGGACTTTCTAGTTTCAGCCATTATATATTTGTTGTGAGGATTATAAAGATATTCGAATGGAGCCTTCATAATGAAAACTAGGGAAAAGGGTGGCTTTACGAAAAGTTCTCGGAAACATTGGTTTATCCATATAATAGTTGTTTTCTGACCTTTCTCAATTATCCTTTTCTCCTGCCTCTGAAAAGTTTGGAGAAAATTATGATAAACATTTGTGAATGAGCTATATATTTTTATTATAGCATAAAAATTTATCTTTTAATTAAACATCTCTCAAAATATTTTTTCTATTTCAAGATGTGTGTGTATTTGCGTATGTGTGTGTGTGTGTGTGTGTGTACAGTGTGGTGTATGTGTGGAGTTTAGAGGACAACCGCAAGGAGGCAAGTTTTCTCCTTCCATCAACTGGGTCTAAAGATCAAGCTCAGGTCATCAGGTTTGGTAAAAAGTACCTTTACTAACAGATTTATCTTGCAAACCTTTAGTTGTGTTGTTGTTTCAAGTATTCAGTAGAAGGTCCAGCAGTAAATGGTTATATGAGATTAAATGATGACTATGTAGGAAAGGATGGAGAGTATATTATTATACAAATAATGCACAATCATAGAATAAATGCATTGGTTGTAACTGAGCTTTGGGAAACACTTTAAAATCTTTTTAAAATCACAATGGATTATTCATGGACACTAAGTTTTCATTTTGCTAATGAAAGATCCAATTTATAATAACTCCACTTTAAAGAAGCAATAGAAAACTTGAATCTCCCACTATCAAGTATCATGAATTTCTGTTTTAAGAAAACAGGGATGTTCCACATCTTTAAAATTAGATCTAATTTCAAGATTTAAATTTTGATCTATTTGATCCACCACTTGTAGATTTGGGCTGACCATTTTTTTAAAAACTTAATAATGCTAGTGTTGAGAACCATGTACAAATTAGCAATGTATAAGTGTGTGTGTGTGTGTGGGTGTAACAACAATTACATGGATTCAAAAGAGAGCAAGGAGGGATATATGGAAAGTTTTGGAGAGAGGAAAGGAAAGGGAGAAATGACATTATCATAGCCTTTTCCCCTTTTTGTTGATTTTTATTGAGCTCTATATTTTTCCCTGCTCTCCTCCATGCCTCTCCCCTTTCCCCTTCAATCCTCCCCAGGGTCCCCATGTTCTCAATTTACTCAGGAGATCTTGTCTTTTTCTACTTTCTACTTCCCTTGTAGATTAGATCCATGTAAGTCTCTCTCAGTGTCCTCTGGGATTGTGATTTGTAGGCTGGTTTTCTTAAACATAGCTTTTATAGTTTTATGCTTTATTTAAAACCAAATTGGTAGGGCTGGTAAGATAACTCAGCATAAAATGGTACTTACTCTACAAATTGGGTGACCTGAATTGGATTCCAGAGTGGAAGTAGATAAGCACCTTCTGAAAGCTATACTCTAAATCTATGTACACTCATGCTTGCACTCATATAAACACACATTATGCACACCCAGATCCACTAATAATAATAAGTAAAATAATATTAAATGCTTTTGATAAAAATAACAGTTATTATAAGTTTGAAATGTAAATAGTACATAAATATAACACAAAAGAATACTGTCTCAAAAGATAATACCAAAGCAATGGAATATTTATGAAAGATAAGTACCTATAGAGATTATTGTCTTCAAAATATTGATATGATGTAATTATAATCTCAAAAATGAAAGAAAAAGCTTATTTTTATTTATTTATTTATTTTTTTTGAAGATTTGTTCTTTATTTTATTTTTTTGTGTTTTTGTTGAAATTAGGAGCGGCAGGGCTGTGTCCCCGGCACCCGGCCGCCCGCATGGCTAGTTTATACCCAGAAATAATTACACGGAAACTGTATTCTTTCAAACACTGCCTGGCCTGGCTAGTTCCAGCTTCTTATTGGCTAGCTCTTACATATTGTTCTAACCCATTTCTAATATTCTGTGTAGCCCATGAGCTGGCTTACCAGAGAGGATCTTAACCTGCGTCTGTCTGGAGTGGGAGCATCATGGCGACTCGAAAAGCTTATTTTTAAAATACAGTAGAACAGTTTGTTCTATAGATTCTGCTTCTGAATATTGTAACTCAAATTATGTCTTAGTTATGTTTATATATGCTGATATCAGTACAAATTTAGTTTTAAAGTGACTTTTTTCTATACTTACAGGAACTGCAATTTGTAATTCTGAAGATCCTGATCCCTTCTTTATATCTCGCAGAGGTATTTTGGTATTTTCTTGATTCCACTTTTCAGTCTTTTGACCGACTGAGATAAGAAAGACAAAATAAAAAATTGGAGTTAATAGCCAGACTCATGCATTGAAAAACATTGTTATGTGAATTATACTATTTAAGTAAAAGTAATTTCTATAGTTCTTCCTCTTTTATAAAACTATTTTTCTATTTGTCATTGGCTTATGTTTCACAGAACAATTTTTATTTTTTATGTAAAACAAATTTTCACAGATATTTGCCTAAATAATAATATTAAACTTGTTATAAAGCAATAGGAATGAAATATATACATATTCCAAATCTTTACTTTCAAATGCTTACATTGACTCCTCTGTCTTGATATCTTAATGTCATTTTGGTTAAGTGGGAGATAATATAATATGATTAATTCTTTCATGATTTCTATAATAAATAGCTTAACACTAAGAATAAAGTAACCAGTGAATGCCTTAATTTTCAGAGATGTCTCAGATTTACCCCTCTGAATTTAGTGCTACCTGAAACCACAAGAATTAGACCAAGAAATGCAAATATTCTTGTCCACTTTATAAAGTCTTTAAGGACATATGCATATTAGAGGTTATTCAGAAAAATCAAACTGTCTGAAAACTATGACAAAAGAGGAACTGGGAACAAGATTCAGGATAGTGTTCCTAGAGAGAAGGAGGTTAATGAGAGATGGGATGACTTTTTATATATATTTGAAGAGCTGCTATATGTGAAGGTAGTCATAGTAATGACTACAATGTAGCTGATACTGCTAATAGCTAATTTTTTATATGTCAGGTTATGTTCTAAGACTTCATAGTTGTAAACTCAATCCTTGTAAATTCTTTTTGCATTAGATAATGCCATTGCATATTGTATAAATATATAAAAACACACTATCTTATGTTAAATCTCTTATTCCAAATCACAAAACTAGTAAATAGCTGAATTAAGATTTACAGGCAATTTGGCCCCAGACACAATCCCTTAACTGAAGTGTTACAATGTTCTTTGTACATTTACTGAGTGTAAGACTGGAACTGCTTGCCTTTTTCAACTTTAAGTTTTGTAATTATGAACTTTGAGCACAGGGAGAGTTTATGAGAGTAAGCATGATTCATATATGAGAAGGAAGAACAAACTAAGTCAATCTCTTATTTGAAGTCAACTAATAAGTACAAGCTTCAAAATCAGAAGTATTCTGCACATGCATATGTATGTATGTATGTATGTATGTATGTGTATACAAGCATGTGTCAAAATTGCATCAAATTCAGGAAAGTTTATATCTTACCACATTTACTAAGGAGTACTATCCATTTGTTGCTACAGTGCTAAGAAATATAAACAAAAATAAATTTCAGAGAATAAATTCTTACTCAAAACGTGATCATCATATGTTGTGTTTATTTCCAGTCTGTAAAAGATGAAAAAAATGTTTTAACTGAATTTGTACTGTGGGTAATTATCATCATCATTGTGTTTTTTCCTTCAGTACCTACACTTGAATATGTTTAATGCACTTTCTCATCAGTGATTTCTTCAACATAGAATAAAAACAAACTAGAATTATTAGATGTATTTAAATTTGAACCCAAATTATTTACACTTCCTTAAAAAGTGTCTAATACCCAGAAAAGACCCATTCCATAGTCATCATTAAATAGCTATCTATTTATGTGTTTATTATTTAATTCCTGAATTTATTATTTGTTTTTCATTCTGACCAGTTTCTTCTCCATCCTCAGCTCCCAGTCTTCCCTATTCCCATCTGCTCCTCTTCCTCTCTTCCTTTCTCTTCATAAAAATGTAAGCATCCCATTGGTGTCAACAAAGCATGGCATAGTAAGTTCAGTAAGGTTAAGCATCTCCCCTTGTAGTAAGACTGGACAAGGCAATCCAGAATGAGGAATAGGGTTTCAAAAGCCAGCAAAAAGTCACTCAGGTCATTTCATCTGTTAGAAGTTCCACAGGAAGACTAAGCTACACAACTGTATTATATATTCAGAAGGCTTATGTCAGTTCCATGCAGGAACTATGCATAAACCCTCGTTGTTAGCTTAGTCTCTGCAAGATCCTATGAGCCCAGTTTCTATGGGTTTCTTGTGATGACCTTGACTTCTCTGTCCCCCACAGTCTTTTCTACCCATCTTCAGCAGGATTTCCTGAGTTCCACCTAAATGTTTGTCTGTGGGTCTCTACATCTATTTCCATCAGTTGCTGAATGAAGCATATCTGATTACAATTAGGATAGGCACCAATCTACGAGTATAGCATAATTTCACTAGGCATCATTACATTGACTTTTTTTTTTTTTATCTCCTGACATGTTTGGTTCTATCCTAGGTCTTTTGGTCATACAGCTTCTGTGACCTGGTGCCGCAAACACTGTCAGCAGTGAAACTCACTCTTATGGCATGGATCTCAGGCTGGACCATTCATTGGTTGGCTACTTCCACAATCTCTACATCACCCTTACACCCAGAACATCCAATAGGCAGGACAGACTGTACGCTGAAGGTTATTCATCTGGATGGTGTCCCAATCCCATCCACTGGAAGTCTTTCCTGGACAGAGGAAATGGCCAGTTCAGGCTATATATGCCTTATTGCTAGGAGTCTTAATTGGAGTCATCCTTGTAGATCCTTGTACTAGGTTTCTGTCTCTCCCCTAAATGCCCTCCTTTTCCAGTCATCACTTTCAGTATCCTCCCCCTCCAACATACCAAGTGCCTCATGTTCCCATCTCTACCCATCCACAGTACACCCATGAAATCTATTCTATTTTTTTCCCAGGGAGATCCTAGTGTCCACTCTTGAGCCCCCATTTTTTACCTACCCTCTCTGGGTCTGTGGATTATATCACGAATATTCTTTATTTTACAGCTAATATCCACTTAAAATTGAGTATGTTCAATATTTGTCTTTCTCGGTTGGGTTACCTCACTCAGGATGATCTTTTTCTAATTCTATCTATTTGCCTTTAAATTTTTTGATGTCATTGATTTCAACAGTTGAGTCATGCTCCATTGTGTAAATGTATCACATTTTCTTTAACCATTCATCCATTGAGGAACATCTAGATTACTTCCATGTTCTGATTATTATGAATAAAGCTTCTGTGAACATATTTGAGCAAGTGTTCTCGTGGTATGATTGAATATATAGCAACTTGGGGGAATGTAAGATTTTATTTCATCTTACAATTTATAGTCCATCATATAGAAAAGTCAGCACAGAAATTCAAGTCAGGGTCCAGGAGAAAGGAACTAAGATCATGAAAGAATGCAGCTTATTGTTGTTCAGCATTGTTTGCTCAACCTGCTTTCTTAGACATCTCAAGCCTAGGGATGGCATTGCCCCAGTGAGTTGTAATCACACACATCAATACCATTCAAGAAAATGCACTACAAACATTGCTACAGACAAATTTTATGGAAATATATTCTCAATTGGGAGTGCCTCTCCCCAGATAACTCTCAAAATTGGGTCAAGCCGATATAAAGCAGTCCAGTACAGGGGAAAATAATGTTAATACAGTACTCATATATGATATTTAAAAATAAATTATTAAAAGATATACATAATGTATAGGCTTTCATTTGTAAATAAGTATCAGAATTAATTTTTAAATTTTAAAAACATATGCCTGAGTAGAGTAAAAATCTCTGAATTTTATTAATCAAGTCTACACCTAAAACTTAGTTACTTATTTCTGTTCCACAGCCATTGCTCTGAACGTTTTGGGAAAAAAGCAGTATAGATTGCTTAAATAGTTCACCTTTTCACATTTTTCTTTTTCACATGAAATTGTAAGATGGCTGATGGAGGAAGGTCATTGGTTAATTATAATAAACCAACTGCTTGGCCTCATAGCTTAGAACATAGAGGGGAGGAGTAAACAGAATAGAATTCTGGGCGGAAGAGGAAGTGAGGTCAGACTCTGCTCTGCTCCCAGAGAGACTGGACAGCTCTGCTCTGGAGCAGAGACGCCATGCTCAGCTCTGCCAGATAGACACGACAGCTCTGCTCTCTGGAGCAGAGACACCAGGATGGATGGAGGCTAGAATCTTCCTGGTAAGCGCACCTTGGGGTGCTTACACACATCATTAGAAATGGGCTAGTCCAGGTGCGAGAATTTGCCTGTAAGGGCTAGAGTTCATGGGCCAAGCAGTTCTTTAAATGAATACAGTTTGTGTGTTGTTATTTCGGGCATGATCTAGCAAGTGGCTGGGGTGTTGGGGACGCAGCCCCGCCGCCGCTTCTTATTACAACAGATGGCCTAGGTGTTTGTGGTTAGAGCACATTAATTGAATGGAGTATCTAGTGTATTTGATGAGATGTGTCTCTAGAAATTTTTCTTCTGCTTGAGTATGTGCATTGATTTTTAGTTCCTTCATATAATCTATGTTTTCTAAAGTCTCTTTTCCAAAAAAAATTTTATCACAAAACCCATTCTAAGAACATCCACTTAGTATGCATTGTCTGCATACACATACATGTGTGTGAACATACATACATACGTACATACATACATACATACATACACACACTACTGTAAGAGTAATTTTAGAACTTATATGTTAATGTAAGCCCCAGAGACACAGGTTATAGATGTGCTCTCCACAATCCATCTAACCCCAGTAGCCTGACAGTAGTATTCGGATCTGTCTCAGTACCAGACAACCACCACAGATTCAGACACCAGGCAGATTCATTGGCATCCTCTTCTTGACAGTTCTAGGTACCGGGTGCATTTGAAGACCACAGTGCAAGGAAATAGTCATTCTCCAGACATCAGATAGCTCTCTACACCGGTCTGAGGCATCTACACTCACTTTTCAAATTTGCTGAGGTCCCAGACTGGCTTTCACAAACTGAGATCTGGAATGACTCATGAAGCTTCACAGACTAGTACAAATGCTGCAAATCCAGCCTTCAGACAAGCCCCTTCATATACAAGATCTGGGCCACCCAAAGCAAGGACAACCTCTGAGGGTCCATATAGGTTGATATATTGCCAGTCTAGCAAGATTCCATATTTCAATCTCACATAGACATTAGGTTAGCCTCAAGAGTATTAAGACTTTAGGCTAGAACCAATGGGCCTAGCTATCTTCTGAGTAATAAATATTACTAGGTTCTGAGTAATAGATATTAATTCTGAGCAAACATAGGTTACCTTAGGCCTTAGACTAGCATCTACAGATCCACCTTCCATAGAAGCTACCCAAAATGTAATTTCAAGGGTTACTCAGTGCTAGAGAGAGCTCTGAAACCTCAGTCTATAAGTCAAACCTCACAAATCCACACTTCAGCTGACCCAAGCTCTAGGTTAATCTGCACACATTTCAGTGTCAGGTACATGAGTTATTCATGTGGACTATGGTTTTTAGGTAGCATCCACATTCCCAGGCTGCAAGCCAACATGCATGAATTCCATGGTGCATTTCAATAGCAGACATAATCCATAGTCAAGCAGAAGAATCAATTAATTGATTGGTGAAGGAAGATCATTTGAAATTAGTAATCAAAGAAACAAACAGAAAAAAGTAAATTAATCTATAATAATTATGGAATATCATCAAGTAAGTTAAAGTACATATCATGAAAAAATAAAGAAAGGAAAGGGGCAAAAACTTATTTGAAGAGACAATGATGAAAAACTTGCCCTACCTGGAGATAGAGGGAAACTAATACCAAGGTTCTAGAGAGCAAACAACACCAAAGGTATTTAACATAGTTAACTTTACAAACATATTATCAGTCAAATTATTAAATGTTAAGGACAAGGAAAAAGCAGAAAGCATCCAAATAAAAATAAATCATCTTTGGAATTAATGAATGGATTTCCAGATATAAGCAAGAATGCATTACTAGTAGACAGGAAGTAGCAGCAAGAGGCTTGTTGAACTGGTCTATATAGCAAATTCTAGGCTAGATAGTATTACATAGTCAGACCCTGTTTCAAAGCAACCAAAACTGAGGGCATGTCTCTCTAAAGAAAATTAGAAAACATTTTGACTGATATTTTTGGTATCCAAAAGGTAACAATTTCATATAAATACCGGAAGTATGCAAAAACCTTTTGGAGAGTTTTAAGCTCTCACACTAAGGCTACCCGCCCAGAGACGGTGAGCCTCAAGGTCCTCAGTTAAGAGAGCCCGGCACCCTCAGCCCAGGCTGCAGGGGCTCCTGTGTTATCCTGGATCCTGCACTGCCTGCCCCGTCCTTCCTTCTATCCCTGGATCACTGGGCTACCAGGCGGCCCTGTTTAGGTGCTGAAGAGTTCCATCTGGACGGGTGAGTGTGTGCTATCCAGGGGCGATAGTCCCGGAAGAGAGCACAAACCCCCCTCCCCCAGCTCCTTCTGCAGGGCTGTCTTTCTTA